TATACTGTACTATATATAGGCTCTCTCACATCCTCAATTCAATGTCAACTTAGTATTGACTTTACAATTTCTAAAAAAATACAAATTGATTTAATAGATTCTATGTATTCATGTTTATTTATAGGACCTCTGTGTTATTACTTACATTATATTTCGAGTCAATAAAACTGATATGTAAGATGAAATATGATTTTTTTTTTTTTTTTTTTTTTTTTTGGGGGGGGGGTAATAATCGAAACCGAATTTTGTTTCTTCTTTTTTCCAGCTGGTCTTTTTTAAGCATACCCTTTCTTCTTGTCGATTACAATTTAAATTTAGAATAGGCTAAGAAGAACCATTAAATCCTCATCTTATTTGTCTTAATTTCAAAAACTATTGCAGGTTTTTAAATACATATTTCGCTGAAAATTATGAAACCGAACCTGACAGAAAATATTTAAATATTTACAAACATTGGTCATTAAAAATTTCATAAGCCATAGACCTTACATTAACATACAAAACACCAGCAAAACCATAATGATAGGAACTCAGTAGCAAACAGAAACCAAATTATATCCGCTAAGAGGGTTTGTACATGTATGTACAATGATATCTCTTTATCACGATGCACTATTTTACATTCCGCGGACTAATATGAATATGATAATCAAAGGTATCTGAAGTAACTGTTAACATGAGCGTTAGTAGTAGACAATTTAAAAAAAAATCTTACTCCTAGTAGGAAGATGTTAATGTCTCATCCATTTTATTCATTTATTATTATCCATGTGTTTATCAGTTTCTTATTTTTATCATTATGTTTGTTGTTATTATTATTATTATTATTATTATTATTATTATTATTATTATTATTGTCATTATGGTTATCATTATTGTTATAATTATGATTATAATTATTATTATTATTATTATTATAATTATTATTATTATCATTATTATAGGATTTTTCGGCCAAATTCGCGAGTTTGTCATTTAAATTAATTTGTCTTGCGTTCAAATTCGACGGTTTTAGTGCTGTCAGATATATCTTGGGTTTATATTCCTTTTACTAGTTTTCAAATCTATGCAGTTTTCGTTAGAATCTATGTATGTTTCATTCAAATTAATGAATAATGTGCTTCTTTTGCTATTTGGTCATTCGATTTGGCGCAACACGATTTCTGACATCGCGAAGGTGTACTTTTAGCATTCGAATTCATTTTTAGCATTCAAATTAGCACTTTTTGCACTTAAATTGATGGTCAATATACATTTCTCGTTAATTACACACTTTTTATAGCTCATTCTTTTTCTTTCAAGATTTTTTTTTCATGTGTATTTCATCATATTTCATTTTCTTGCATTTATACACTTTATATACTTTTAGATTTATCTGATATTCATCATCCTTTAAGTTTGATTGTGAAAAAAAAAAACTTACATCTACGGACTTGATGGTCTCAATATTTTTGTAAATTTTCATGTAAGGAAGTTGTTTTTCTTGTGTTTCATCATAAATGTATCACAATTTCATTATGGAGGAAGGGTAAGATATTGTGACTAGGGTAGGTATTTTTGTATCCCCATTTTTCCGGGGTATATGAACATGTCCGTGCAGAAATGCCATATCCCTTGATTTCGCCCCTTCTTTACCTAATGTCTGACTACACCCATATGCATTGTCCTTAATTTTTTTTTTTTTTTTTTTTTTTAAACTGTAAACGTGTGTTGCATTTCTTCCCCCTAACATTCCTAATTTGAATAAACATAATTCGAATACGAATGACAGGTGTTAATTTGAATGCTAAAAATGATGCCTCGACAAGTGACGATTAATTTGAGTGCTAGTTGAGCAGTTCTAAATTAAATGACAGATCTATGAAACCCTTCAACCAAAATCCCAAATTAAATACCAAAACGTGAAAATTGAATGAAAATTGACATGGCAAAGCCGATCTGCGCTAACTTAAATGCAAAGTAAATGAATTCGAATGACAAACTCGCGAATTTAGCCGGGAAATCCTATATTGTTATTATTATTATTATTGTTATTATTAGTATTATTATTATTATTATTATTATAAATAGCATTCAAATTAATCGTCACTTGTCGAGGCGTCCTTTTTAGCATTCAAATTAACACCTGTCATTCGTATTCGAATTATGTTTATTCAAATTAGGAATGTTAGGGGGAAGAAATGCAACACACGTTTACAGCTTTAAAAAAATGCAATTAAATACATGTATTGCTATTGGGGTCTTTTCTGTTATTCAATTTATTAATGTCGAGGACAAAGCATATGTTTGTAGTCAGACATTAGGTAAAGAAGGGGCGAAATCAAGGGATATGGCATCTCTGAACAGACATGTTCATATGCCCCGGAAAAGTGGGGACACGAAAACACCTACCCCAGTCACAATATTGTACCCTTCCTCCATAATGAAATTGTGATAAATTTATGATGAAACACAAGACAAACAACTTCCTTACATGAAAATTTACACAAATATTGAGACCATCAAGTCCGTAGATGTACAGTAAGTCTTTTTTTTAACAATCAAACTTAAAGGCTGATGAATATCTGATGAATCTAAAAGTATATAAAGAGTATAAATGCAAGAAAATAAAATAGGATGAAATACACATGAAAAAACGATCTTGAAAGAAAAAGAATGAGCTATAAAAAGTGTTTACAAAACGAGAAATGTATATTGACCCTTAATTTTAGTGCACAAAGTGCTAATTTGAATGCTACAAATGAATTAGAATGCTAAAAGTACACCGTCGCGATGTCAGAAAATCGTGTTGCGCTAAATCGAATGACCAAATAGCGAAAGAAGCAATTTGTTCATTAATTGGAATGAAACATACATAGATTCTAACGAAAACTTCATAGATTTGAAATCTAGAAAAAGGAATATAAACCCGAGATATACCCGACAGCACTAAAACCGTCGAATTTGAACGCAAGACAAATGAATTTGAATGACAAACTCGCGAATTTGGCCGGGAAATCCTATATTATCATTATTAATACTACTACTACTATTATAATTATCATTATTATTTTTATTTTCTTGTGTACATTATTATTATCATTCGTCAACATCGTCATCATTATGATTATTTACCTCCGATGTGCATTTAGGAAAAGAAGAAATAAAACCGGGAATTTATTATTTCGCTTACAAATAGTCTTTCCGTCTTTGAGAGAAATCGATTAAATTATTTCATTGCCAAATATGGAAGCATGACCATGGACGGAAACGGTTACTTCTATGTTAAGATAAGACAGGGTGATGTAGCAAATTTATTATTTGAAACTGAAACAGAAGGCTCCTGGTTTGTTTTAGGTCATTTCAGCGCGAGACACGTCAACTTTCATTTCTTCTCCAGTCTATGTACATGCATTTTGAAATACAATCATAAATGAATAGTATCTCTTTCTGACACCAACTCCCATCTATTTGTTGATTGAATATGAAGTTCGCCTACCAGGAGACAGTGTTCGTTACTATAACCATTGTAGCCATCGTGTCTTTACAAGGGGGTAAGAATTCTTAGAAATCTATCCATGTTCTTTTATAAATGTAATGCTTCCTGGGAGAAATTTCAAATTGGGTATTTGTTTCTAGTTCATCGTGACTGTGCCATGGACCAGTGATGGCCTGGTGGTAGAGTCGCTGCCCGGTAAGCAGTAGATGCAGGTTCAAGTCCCGCTGGTTCCAAGATTTTTTCTGACTTGTTTTTCAATACAGATCGATCAATCGATCTTATTTACTGGGTGTAAGCCACAAATATGTTTAGATAATATCCATGTTCGTCATAAAACCTCATCCCTTTTTGTTCTGATAAAAAAAAATCTTATTGCTTAGTTTAATTTAATTTTTGTGTTAAAAAGGAGAAAATCACTTCCGGTTTATCCTACCTTTGGGTGCTGTGAATTATATCTGCTGTTTCAACATTCCGCTGTGTCAGGTATTAAAATAGGAATGCTCGGGAAATCAGCCGTCTTATCATTTCTAAACTGTCACTTTCATATCTTAATACAGTAACAAGTCAGCAAGAATGGCACCGACTGGATGACGCAGTCTATCTAGTGGATAGCACCACCGCAGTGAGAGGGTACGATGAGGCGCAGGCTGTCTGCCAAGGTTACGGAGCGAATCTAGCCAGGGTTGACTCAGATGAGATCCAGGTATACAAACGATTCAAAGAACGGCCAGATGTTAATCACAATTACTCTTTTAGCTTGTAACGTGATATATATACAGCTTAAAGTTACGGCTAAGTTCTGTTTAAATGTGTTGTAATTACAAATCCACCGTTGTTGACCGTTGTGAGGGTGATAATTATAGTAAAAATGAATGAATGCAAAATAAACAGTGCACTGATAATAAATGATTTGTTCCTGGCGCATGCGATAATATCTATTACATGCGAGAATTGCGCATTATTGATTGCATCACCTACGCTAATAGAGCCTACGAGGGCAGTTAGTGTATGGGCGAGTAATATAATGCAATCTAAGCACGATTTACTCACTCTCACAGCAATGACGCATCGTGTCCGAGGGGTAATATTCATTTAATCGAAAAATGTCCGATTCTTAAAAAAAAAAAAATTCTAAATCATTGCACATATAATGTTGTGTACGATTCTTCCTTCGAGTGATGTCACGTATAGAGAGATGTGGAGAATGTTTCACTTTTAATTGTTGAATAGTTTCTAATCGATATCATGTTACGCTCAGGCTATAGAAATTTTCTTTGTGATTTCTTTTAGGAGTGGGAAGTGAGTTTTATATTTTGTATTTGTCAATATCAATGCAGGATTTCTTGACGCCTTTCATCACTCCGGCCTTACAAAATAGCCGGTGCTTTTGGATTGGTTGCAGCAGGGACAGAGAGGGTCAATTCAGATGGCTTGACGGCACATCAGTGATGTAAGTACTATAATCACGACATCGACAATAAAATAAGTGCATTTCTTTGATTAATCTTATAAGACTAAACTCATGTCGTTTGACAGTTAGTTGTCATTGGACGTTAGATCTTCATGTGTAGCGAGGAAGTTTGTCAGAATTTATGAGGAATGCACGTTTCTAGATTTATCTTAATTAAAATACCATGCAAACATAAAACGTTCTTAAGAAGTTCACAAAACTTTCCAATGTCGTTAAAACGGTTATGATTTTAATGTTATTTATGTCCTATAAATGATTAGTTAACCGGCATTACTTGTAGGAGTGAATAGTCTGCAGTCCAATTAATAGTATTTGCTCACCTTCAAGCCCGGGTATTTCATTGTTATTGCAAGTGTCCTGCATTTCATTTTTGTTTTGTTTTTAATTAGATATGATGGTTGGGGACAAGGTGAACCAAACAATAATGGTGGAGTTCAAAATTGTGCTTGCATCAGGTCGGTCACAGAGTATATATATAGAAAGCATGGAAAATGGGACGATGACCTCTGTACATTGGACAGAAACTTCATTTGCCAGAAAGGAATTTGTGAGTCAAATCACAGTTATCAATAGGCCTATGTGTCTTCAAATGGCACTCTAGTCTTGCACACAAGGCGGCATTAATTTTGCCTGACGCAAGACTCCTTCAACGAATGCGGTGCGGTCTTTGATGAGCAGTGTGAGAATGGCGTCGCGCAGAGAATGGCTGCTAAATTAACAGTGCAGTATTATATGGCGCATGGGCTAACTACTTAATTCACTGACTTGATTAGAGCGCAGTACTAGGTAAAACACCCCTTCACGGTTAAGGCCATCATTTTCATTTGCGATTAAAAATTTGCGTAAGCATTGCCTCATCCTGGCCTCATCAATGTTTTCAGACGCGCATGCATGTATTATTGCGTCACTGCCTGCGCTGCGCGCTCACATCATGTCGACACATGCGATGTGCATGCTGCATAAAATCAAGGTTACTCGCAATTCATATTTCTCTGGTTGTCTCATTTTCGCTCGTTGGAACATTGCCAGCACAAACCACTGACCTCTACCTCCTGGACGGGTCATCGCCCATTCCCATTCACTATACGTTACGTACTAAAAGGCTGTAATGTCTGACCGTTCATGAATATTCATGTTATTGCTTACCTCGGCAAAATGTTTGCTTTTACTAAATGGAAAAATGACGGTGGGGGGTTGGATGAAATGGACATAATGAACCAAGCAGAAGTGATCTATGATAATTCATGCTTCTTATCCTTCGTGTGCTTGACCTATAATCTTAAAATCACTTGGCAAACTGAGTCCAAATTAAGTTCGACTTGTTTCACTTGTGTATTATAGGCAATGACGAGCTTGCAACCTATTTTGATCAAATTAAGGTGGGTGAACTTTCAAAAGTCAATGGGACATAAGGGTTCCAATGAAAGAGCTAGTGATAACGTACGTCGGGGTGGATGTGCTTTTCGTTTATTCAAAAAATGAATTTTTAACGATTTTTGGGGTAAAATTCCATAGGCTAACATGTTAGGCTGCTGACTCTGACGATAGGGGGCGTTGTGAAATGAGACTAAACGGGGCTATATGTTAAAATGGTGCCCATATCGGCGCATGCGCACTCTTGTAACCGTGAAAGGGTGTATTGACGCAATCAAAATTTCTTCTCGTGTGCAGCGGGCTTTACATTTGAAAATCATTTCAACATCAAATTAATGTATTTATAAACATTTTATCATTTACTGTCATATATGTTGCTAGATTTGGTATTTATTGTTCCTAAAAGACCAATGCCATTTTATCATTTACTGTCATATAGGCCTATGTTGCTAGATTTGGTATTTTATTGTTTTAAAAAAGACAAATGCCTTTCTACCACACTCATTCTTTCTTGCATCGCATTCTACAGATAATTTCCATCTCGTGATCCCTCGAACTTATCCCGGTTTCGCTAATGTATACTGCGCCATCAACGTCGAAATCGAAGGAGAAACACTGTCTCCAGATGACGTCACGCTATCCGTCGGTCAAACTCTTTCGTCATCGAAACCGATTTCCTGCTCATCGACGAGTCTTGACGGTGAATTCCGTAATAAAAGTTTCCTTCTTGACAATGTGAACGAAGACGACCAAATCTTCTGCTACGTAGGTGAACTGCCGGACAAAAATAGATCCTTTTCACTGGCTACTATTTCTGCTGTCTTTGATTTTTACGGTAATATTATTTTTGTTCCAAACAATTCTCACCATATTTAAACTGATTGAGCAATTTTGCATGTTATAGTTTACGATGAAATAATTCGTACCCTTAAAATTCCTTTTAAAATATCGAATTATCCCGAATTATGTGTCTTGAGAATGTGACAAATTAAAGCTTACATCAAAAATTATTCAACCTAATCCCTCTTTTGTTCTTGAGTTACGAAAAACACAAAAATCATCAAAATCATCAAATTTAAAAGGTATACGCACAATTCAGTTGTTCACTGTATGCAGTATATAACAACATACATAATGCCTATGCAAGGACATTATCCAGAAAACCTATTTAAGAAAGCAACGTACTTGGAGCTTTAACATGTCAATTTAAAGTAGGCTCTAAGAGATTACAGATTAAGATGGAGTTTTGTCAGTTGTTTTATTTGTTTGTTTCTCTTGGGGTTTTTTCTTCTTCATAACATAAAGGTAATTTACAGATAAACCACTTATTAACGGGACAGCTTTATCATTTCCAGCTTTACCAGAGCTACCATCCGGCCCAACAGTCGGAGAGATCAGGTCGTCATCAGTCTCTGTCTTCTGGAGCTCTTGGATACCTTGTCTGGACTTCGGCGACGGGCCAGTTGTTGGTTACCTTATCTATCAGCAAACTATGGAAGACGAATGGATAGTGGTTGGTAAAATCGACTTGGATGTGGGAGAGGGCGATCTTCAACGAATAATGGAGTTTGTATTGACTGACTTGGAACCAGGAACAGAATACAATATCAGTGTGTCTGCCGTCAGAGAAGGTCCCGGCGGAGAAGGACCAAGAAGTCCACTTGTGACTGTTACGACTCCTACCCTCGGTGAGTGGTGATTGGACCAATTTTAATGATGATTTCGGTAAACCGAAACATCCAACCATGAACCATCAGCTAAAAACGCATTAGTCTTAGCCTCAAAAGTCCTATATCGGTTGGTGGCTTTGGCGGTCGGTCCTGCGTCCAATTGACATTAGCCATTAATCTTATCCCGACTCTTACCCTTACACTATTACCCCTACAACCCCCCCCCCCCCCCCCCCCCACTCCGCTGCACTGAACGAGGAGCCGGAGCGGGGAGGCGGGCTGGTGTGACTTTATAATAATTTCGTCGCCTAAAAAATGCTGGTTCCTTATTGACTACGATGTCGCAATGCTCCTATAATTACCCTCGCCCTTATGATAATCATGGAATTGTCCTTAATCATTGTACAGAACTTCTTAATCAGGTCCAAGCACTACCCTACAAACCAATTATGCGCAGCCTAGGACCAAGGGAACCAAAAGGACATAGGGCCAGTGATATCAAAATATTAATGTCGCTATAAACATTTATAGCATTCTTTGTTGTAGCAATAGGTCTATTCTGCAATTGGCAAAGAACTGACAAAGTTTGGTAATTAATGCTTATCTTTTCAATGTTACAGAGTGTCAGCACCTGAGGAAAACTAGTGCTGTTTGGATGGCTTTATTCGTGATATCGTTCTCGGGGATCATCATACTTCTTGTGATTGTAGGGTAAGAATAAAAACTATTTAAATTTCTTGCATAAGTGTAATGCCCTTTTCGAAAACGTTTTAAATGCAGAATGTAGATTTGCAATATTGATGTTGGTTTTTACGGTTCTTAGTCCGGCAGCCACTGAGCTACACCTCGTTTTGTTGAAATAAGTTTTTACTACTCCCGGACGACTAGCCCCAGAAAACTACCCCCAAGGATAACAACCCCCCGGACAACTACCTCCCCCCCCCCCCCAGAAAACTACCCCTACGACAACCATCCTCTAGGACAATCCCCCGGACAACTATCCTAGGGGATAGTTGTCTGGGGGTAGTTGTCCGATGCTAGTTGTCAGGGGGTAGCTGTCCAGGGGTAGTTGTCCTAGAGGGTGGTTATCTTAGTGGTGGTTATCAGGGGGTGGTTGTGCAGGGGTAGTTGGCCGGACACGGTTTTTTACGTACCAGGTAAATAACACCCTGAAAAACTACCCACCCCACCCCTTCAAGGACGATAAGTCCCTGGCAAATTACCCCCCCCCCCCCACCCGAAAGATTACCCCAAGGACATTCTACCCCTCCCCCTTCCCCCCAGGACAATTAACGTCCTGAAAATTACCCCCAGGAAAATTATCCCTTTGGACAATTAACCCCCCCCCCCTCAAAATTATCCTATATATATAGGACAAATACGTCCCCCAAAGAGAACCAAGGACAACCACCCCCGAGGAAAAATACCCGCGGTTCATTGAAGGGGACTTCCACCCTGATAATAAGTTGGTTTTAATGAAAGCAGAATTATATTTTTCGAGGGGTAATTGTCACGGGGGGGGGGTGATTCTCCAAGGGGGTAATTTTAAGGGGTGGTAATTATCCCTCGGGAGGATAGTTGTCCACGGGGGGGGGGGTGTATTTGTCGTAGGGGTGATTTTCCGAGGGGGGGATGTAATTGTCCTCGGGGTAATGAAAGCAGAATTTTGTTTTGAGGAGTAATTGTCACGGGGGGGGGTATTTGTCGTAGGGATGATTGCCCAGGGGGTAATTGTCCTAGAACTTATTTTTGAAATTTCTAATTCCTAATTATAAGTAGTTTATACAACATAGCTGCCTGAAATCTATTCCTCTTGTACATCTTAGTATAAGTACTGTTAGATCGCAAAGTAGGCCTACCAATATATGTCCATATAACATAAACAAGGAATTCTCATAATTCTGTCCCCAATACCTAAACTAAAAGAAAAAAATGATCAACATTCTAAATATACTTTGCCCCAGTAACCATCTTTCAGTCGACCCAAAAACATTTCTTTTAGTCTTTAATAATTTACTGGTCTCTGTCATGACTGTTTAGTGGGACATTTTAAAAGAATACCTTTGTATTCTGTTTTGTCGGACAGAAATTTACAAGGCCATTAGGCAATTGCCTGATTAATATGCTACGTAGGTTAATTATGCTAGTAACGCTAATTATTTTAAGTTTCAACCTGACTGACTTCTGAGATGGATATTGGTTGTCATTTAATTTTAAAAAAATACTCTTTGAAATTATCACCCCAGATTTTTTCTGGCTAGACTAGACCTATCTCAATTAATTCAAGTATTCAAATTTATTTATTATGTTAATTAGGCTAATTATAATACATATACATGGAATATTTCTCATGAATTGATGTGTTGTCTTTAAAATGTGATTTACAATGTTGCATTGCACCATTTTCAGGCTTGTCAGATAAACAATGACAATGAACTCCATTATATTGTACATATGCTAATTAGCTCATTATGCTAATTATGATGTTGAAGACAATTGCATTACTAAAAAATAAAAACTGGTGGCATAAATGAATTCTTCGTCATAGGAAACCCTTAAAAAGTAATATTATCCATGTTTTAAGGCTTCCTGGATTAATATTAGCAACATATTCCATATTGCACATATGCTAGTTAGATGATTGTGCTTATTACGCTATTTAAGACAATTTCATTACTTTAAAATAAAAATCAATGTCGTAAATGAATTCTTTGTCATAAAAAAACCTTTGAAAAGTCGCATTACCCACATTTTCAGACACTCTGTATTAAGATTAGCAACATATTACATAATTATTGAACATATGCTAATTGGATGATTATGCTAATAAAAAAAGTTGCCCAAGGTTGCCAAGGTGGCAACGAAGCTGATGTAATTCAATACCCATCTAGAACAAGAATCAACAAAAGAACTTGTACTTGGCAACTTTTCTAGGTCTGAAAAAATTCTACCGGACTAAAATAGCATTTTTTAGGTAAAAGAGTAACAAAAATCATGTTAATCTCATCCTGTATATTATTAATTTGAATATCTGCATATATAATTTTGAGGTAAAATACCATCTATTTTCTTATACCTCTATCTTTACACTTATTTTATTAATAGTGATAGTAATATTGCTGGTGATGACGAAGATGATGATGATAACGATAACAATGATTAATCACTATTTCTGTCTGTCATTTCTAAATCAACCATGCAGCAAGCGGAAGCAGAAGGCGGACCTGACTCGTGTACGTTTTGACCCAGAAGGAGCAGGCGATCCAAAGAGCCCTGATTACGAGCTGCCTCCACAGAGTGTAGTCAGGCAACATGCCTACCAGGGCCTCAGAAGATCAAGGATCAGCGACAGCATAGAAGTGGATTACGATGACACCGCTGATCCAGAGAAATTGTAATGTCATCTGGAGTTCGAAAGTAGTTATTAAGTCTGCACTGGAGGCGTCATGTATTGAGTTAGGACTGCGTCAACGACACGCATGACCTTTGACACGCAATAAGTGACTTTGCACAAGGAATGGATGTAGAGCTAGTATCACATTGGGCGTAACAGCTTGCAACTTGTTTTAGACACAACATTTAGAGAAAATACTAGAATTAGCGACAATTTTCACTTGGAATCGCACTAAATTGGTACGTACGACACATTTGTGTATGTCGCGCGAACTCCCGACAACATTTGGGTACAAAATTTGCCTGGAGTTTTCAAACTATATGCTTTAAATATGGTTTAAAGTACATTGCACTGGGTGTGTGTGTGTGTGTATGTGAGTAAATATGGCTGAGTGTGTTTGCAAGATATTTGTAATTGTTTTGTATAAGTATGAATATAAATATATTTGTATATATTTGTATATAATTGTATGTTAATGGGCCCCTTTTACAAACTCTGCTTCTCAGCCATGCACTACGTCTTTCGTCTTCTTTGTTGTTAGGGCAGACAGCCAGTGGAACGGATTCGTTTAATACAATTATGGAAATACAAGCATTACTTTAAACAAACAGAACTTTGGTATTTCCGGCTCATTTTTCCTGATTGAGGTGTCATATAAAAGGGCAGAAATTTACTTTTGTAGAAATGTGATTTTGTCTTCGAAATTCAGACACCGTTCGCCAAATGACTTTTTGGTACCCTCTCTTTATATTGCTTTTTATCAGTCATACGTGAAATATGCATCATATAAGTTGCATCAAATGAAAGAGGATCTAAGCTTTACAAAATATGTGTCATTTATTAATCATAATTGAGATTAAGTTTTGATAGAACATGGATAATTCTCGGTTTCATCGTGTATCCCCCCCCCCCCCCTTCCCGGCTGCTATCGACTCAAGCATTCATGCTTATGATAGTTGGCCTCTGCATTTATCCTGATTCTTTGACTTGCCTCCATACTTTCAAGTTTTCAATTATATGTAAGCATTTTGGGGGGTATATTTCATTCGTCACTTTTTATGTTATTCAATTATATTACATACTGTTATTGTTACTTGAATATTTTGTATTTGATTTTTCGATTAATGCGGAAACATCTGATAAAAAAAATGTATCATGGTTTAAATTGACTTGTGTGTGCGTGTGTGGGTGTGTGTGTGAGTGTGAATGTGATATTTTGTTTAGGAGTTGGGATGTTAGGTATGTGGTTAGATGTATGGGTGGGTGCTGTTCTGTGAATGGAGTATTTGTACAGTGTTCTATATGATGAGTAGATAAGTGTTGTGTTTGGTGTAATGGTAGTCACGGTCTTTGGTGTGGTCTTGTGAGTAAGAATAATTGGCTGGAGTTCCAGTGTTGTGCGCGTGTGTATCCGTGTATGTTTTGTAAGGTGCGAGTAAATGTGAATGTTTACGGGGGGGGGTAAGTAGTAGAAGGGGTGGAGGGATGGCGTGCTTAGGGTGGATTGTATACAAATATGTATACTTATTTTATTTCAAGTTTCATGAATGATGGTAATTAAGTTCAGTATGTGATTATTATTATTAGAACAATTTAGTGATTTTTTCCATTATTCTCCTTCTTTGCTCACTGTTTTATGAATAATTTATTTATGTTATGAAAACGGAATGAAGATCTGTATTTGTATGGAATTATTTACATTGATTTTTATGATTTATTTTGAATGAAATCTCTAATAAAAAAAAATATTGAAGAAAAAAAGTGTGTGTAATTTTTGTACATGTAATTATATCGTTATGTTTTTTATCGGGTAGGTGGGACGCGGTCTTTATTAGGCCTACAAAAAAGTTTTTACATTGCCCTTTAAAGGTACTTTAAATGTCCCATTTGCAGGCCAAACAAATGAAAAGGTTACATTTCAACTGCATTTGAAAGATAATACTAATTTAGAACTTCCCTAAAAAAGGTGGGGCTTGAAAATGTCTTCAAGTGGGAAAATAACGACTATTAGTTGTCAAATCGACTTTAGGGCTATAGAGCCCAAAAGTAATAGTCTTGATTTTCAGACAATTGTACCGAATGGTCATACGTTTTATGCTGCGCAAAGATTCAATCAGTTTAATCTTGGCCATCACAAGAAGTGGGTTATTGATGTAGACAAACGCTCATGTACCCTTTACAACTCTTTTCATGTATGTTATTACCAAAGAAGAAAAAAAAGCCAGTCAGTCACTCAATAGTGTCTGACAGTGAAGTCTAGCAAGTAAACGGGTTTCCTTGCATAATTTGGATATGAAGACACTGCTAACGTTTAAATTTCACAGATAGGACATACATGCGTATTCATAATTCCTGCAAAGTTCTACAGAATTTGAGGTTGGCTGCAAAAGGGACATAGTATCTTTAAGTTCTATAACATGGGTCGGTCGGTAATCTTTTTTTTCTCCCTCTTTGGGCTGATTATTTACAGTTTTGTATTGAATTAAACTTTTTTTCTTCAAAAAACGGTTTAAAAAAAGTACTTTCTTAAAAAGCCGATAGTAGATTTCAAGATATTTGGGTCGGTTGCAAAGGGCAATACATCTTTTTTGTTTAGGCCTTATTATAATGAAGCGAAGACATCTACGCAAAGTTTTTCGGAATATAATTAAATCGGAAAAATTTGGAGAAATTCTTCATTCCAATGATATTACCTTGTGAGGAGGGGGCAGGACAACAATTTTGTTATGTGGACTAAGAGGTGCAGCGGGGGGGGGGGGAGGCCTCATTTTCACCCCCCCCCCCCGAAAACAATTAGCAGTTCAGGAGTAAAAATGGTTTTATTTTTAACCAAAGAGAAAATAAAAAATAAAACCTGAATTGAATCACATAAAAATGACATTCCATTCAAAGAAAAGGAGAGTAAACAGGAATTAAATTTCCTTACTATTCTACATGCCCCTATATTTATCAATGGAGGATTTTTATAATAGCGATACGCGCATATCGTGGAAATATTGTGAGAGGATGGGAAAGCGTGTGTGTTTGGTATTATAGGGGTGAGAAGACATTAGCCCCTGAACACTGGTGTACTGATAGGGGGAGGGCAGATGTCCCCAAATATAATTCAAACGTGGTTTACTTCTAAATCGATACCAGTTTTTTACAAATGTTGCTGAAATGACATGATTTTCCGGGACTTTTCCTCAATTGTTTTGGTAAAATATTCTTCTGTATGCGTTTGTTGAAAAATGAACAATCCCTAATTTAAAGTCAAGGCTAAAAATATGCTCATTTAAAAGCCTTCGTGTCAAGGCCTGCAGAACGGTGGGGCTCAAGGGTTCGAGCCCCCCTCACTTTTTTTGAAAAAAGTATGTTAAAGATAAAATCAATGAAAGAGAGAAAGATGAGTGACCTGCCAGTGTTACAAAATGAGGTATCGAAATATGCTCATCTGACCGTTATCAAATGCCTAAAACCCCCGAGCTAACGGGGAACTCCGCCCCCTGGATCTCACCAAGGACCCTAAGGCGGCCCCCTGGATGCTCATCTGACCGTAACTAAATACCTAAACAGCTGAGCTTCCGGGGGCTCTACCCCCTAGACCCAACCAATTAAGGGCCCTAAGACGGGCTCCTGAATGATCATCTATCCACACTTAAATGCCTTAAACCCTTAAGCTTCATGGGTCTCAGCCCCCTGGACCCACGCCAATAACTGACCTGCCAGTGTCACAAATACGGTTTCTAAATATGCTTATCTGACCGCAATGTACACACCAAGAAATAGGGGTACATTTGGAGTGCAGATCGCTGCTACAATAGAAGCCACCTATAGGTGCAAGTCTGCAATACGTGGCTGCTATTGTAGAAGCGGTCTGCACCCCTAAAGGTGCTCGTTTTGCACCCCTAAGGGTGCAAGTCTGCACAATTGCACCCTATAGGTGGCTGCTATTGTAGAAGCGGTCTGCACCCTATAGGGTGCAAATTTGTACCTTTATTTTTTAGTGTGATAATGCCCAAAACCCCTGAACCCACGCCAATTTAATTAATGCTCCAATCGCTTCGCTACCTGATCGTTAAAACTCCCATTTTGAAAAAAGTTTCGCGGGGCCTGCATGTAACATGTAAGAGTGGTGGTGTTGCAGATTTTTTTTCTGCGCCCCCCCCCAAAAAAAAAAAAACGCTTTTGCTCATTACGCCACTGCCCCTGAAAGGTGAGCCGCCTGAAATATCCCCCCCCCCCTCCAAAAACTGAAACAACCTTATACTGCTTCCGGCAAGCTTGGGTGTCGCGTGGTCTAGTGTATACACATCGGACTTATAGTTGGCGGTTCGCAACACCCGACGAATGTGAGGAAAATGGATACCTGGCAGGAATTGATTCCTTGAAATGCTTCATCATAATGGCAGCCGTACTAAGCCGGGGCAGTATTGTGGAGCGCCAGGAGTGTCAAGTCTGACAAACATAAGCGCTACACAAGAACTCACTGTAGTAGTTGGTTGCTCCCTGATATTCCCCCCCCCCCCCCCCAAAAAAAAAAAACAACAACAACAACAACAACAACAACAACAACAACAACAACAATATTTCTGAATTATCCACATATAAGATACTATCACGTTGGTGAATTTCAAACAATGTAACGGTAGGAATTGATCTAATTCGAATAACTCTGCATTCATGAGGTAACAGATAATCCCGACCTCTACAATATATTCACTTAGCCTATAGTTATACATAACTTCCAACGCCAATCTGAAAGGAAAAAATAACACATTCCCACACCAAAATCAGTATTGACAAACATGTACATGTAGTATTAGCCGGTCAAACGCGATTTCACTGTGAACATAAAAAAGTCATGGCTAGGCCATCCAATAGTCTACTTCAAAAACATGAGCTAAATCTTTCTTGTATCTTCAATACTGAAAAGACGGAAGTACAGAAACCCTCTCCTTCCGACTTGAATTAATATTACCAACTGACAGTAATAATATGAAAATGAAAGGGATATCTGGCACCTCATGTGAATACAATGGTGGTAGAGCCTACAACCAACAAACTTTGATGTTACTATGCTCTCACAACCTCAATTCAATTTCAACAAATAGTATTGACTTTAAAATTTCTGCAAAAATGCCAGTTGATTAAATAGCTTATAAGGACCTCTGTGGTGTTACTAACATCATATTTTGAGTAAGTATAACTGATATCTAAAATTAATTATGATTTTAAATAAAAAAAAATTAAATAAATGAAACCGAACTTTTTCAGCTGGTCTTTTGTTAGCATTCCCTTTCTTCTTGTCGATTACAAGCCAAATGTAGAATAGGCTAAGAAGAACCATACATTCCTCATCTTGTTTGCCATATTTTCGAAAA